GTTGTGAAACTGTTTTTGTGGCCTCAGTCTACCCTTGCTCCTTTCCCAAGAGTGTAATTCATCCCAGCATCGGAGACATGCATTGGGAAAAGCTGATTGATTTACAGGCTGACTTAACGTGGCTTCCATCAGAAACTCCTGACTATTGAGTACTTGTAGGCAAAGTATAAATAGTAATTTAGAGTTTGCTTTGTGTAAATGCTGTTTAATAACTATGTATGCTTCTTCCATGGCTTGATTTTTCAGGAATGAGAACTATCACAATCAGGACTTAATTTTAATGGGTTTTAATTTTTTTTTTTTTTGTCTTAAAGGTGGTGGCCATTATGGAAATGAACCTTTACAACTGTAAAGTTTAATAACATCTATTAAAATCCTTTCAATGTTGTGAATTAATTGTTTGAAGATCTTCAACATTAGGTTGTATCTGAACAGAAGCAGATGCAAACATCTCTGTCCGAGATACATGGTATCTTAAAACTGAGGTTGAATATATGGGCAATATTGGGACTTGGTAACTTCTTCTGACTTTACATGAACATGCTTTCATACTATTATTTGAGTAGAGATTAACAGTTGGATCAGTCTCATGCGTTTGGCATTAACATGAGGACAACATCATGTTACCAAGACAGCAATCTTGGACACTGACAGGATTTTTTTGTGCTTGTCCATATATCTTTGCTAAGAAGAAAAGCTAGTATTACAAAAAGAAAAGCAGTAATTTAGACGTTCATATGTGAGCTGTAGTCTGGTTGCCTAAAATATCCATTTCTCATGTTACTAAAATATCATTTCTCATGAAGTCCTTTTAAAGGACTTCATTAAATTCAGATACATGAGAAAAGAAAGAAAAGAAGGGAAGTGGTTCATGTCAGATGTGCACTGAGCCACTTGATGGGTAAGTTTTGGGAATTCTTTGCCAGGATTAAGATACCTGTATGATTTTGAGGGTGGTGTGTTATGATCCTGCTGTTGGCAAGATGATTTTTTAGTATCGGCACTATGTCGTGTGTTGTTCATATTCATTATTTTTCTTAACTATTACTGGAAAGTAGGAGTTGATTGTGAAACTGAAGGCAGAGTAGGCAGATGGGCAATGCGACCAAGACCTGTGCTGGTGTCAGAGAAGGGACTTAGTGGAAGGAGTGGCTCAGCTCTGTGTCCTCAAGCTGCAGACATAGAGGAACATTGAGAAGGACGCTGAGGAGCTACAATACAGAGCRAATGGTCACATCTAGCTGCCTGTCCTGGGAATACATAACTGTGTCCAGTTGGATACCATCTTGGATGCATCATCTAGGCCCAGAAGTGCTTGTTCCTGGAGGCGAGAGCAATAAATGCCTGCCAAGGCTGAGCCCTGCTGAATGTGACTSGGTCTTCCCCAAAGCCCTGATGGTCCAACCCGGGCACCAGAGCCATCATGTCCTCCACGGCGCTGCAAACCTTTCTTTGGTCTTTAGTTGGCTTTCACCAGCAGCGAGAAAAATAAGTCTGAGCTTTAAACTCTGTCTTGGTGTGCTCAGCAAGGCAAAGGAAAAACGAGCTGTAATCTGTGCTTTTGCTGAACATGTCTTTAGAGGGAGAGCCCCTCACTCTCACAACTGCTTTCTCTGGGATGTGGATGAAAAATAGCAGCTGTCTTTGCCTGGCACGTGCATGAGTGTTCCTGGCATGGATAGTGCTTTGTACCCCTCTTTGCACCCTGCCCTGGCTGGCTGGGATTTTACATGATGTTTACAGGTTTTGAAGTTTTAGATCAGTTAAAAAAAACAGAAAATGTAGAACTTACATTCAGGAGCTTATGTCATGGTGCACTGCTAATATTTAGCRGTCTGTTTTAGCAGTTAAGAGTCATTTTTCTCAGGGGTCTGAGAGCTCTTGCAGGGCGGGAGTGGGCAGTGAGCTGTTCATTTGTTTTTCCAAGTAATGAGTTTCTTTCCCCCCATAAATGTAACCAGAAAGGAGGCGGCATCATTTGGCAATGCAACGTTCATGTAAAGTTTCATTTTGCCGGAAATGTTTTTGCTTAGTTCTTAAGAACAGATTGAGGATTTTGACAGCACAATGTGGTGTCCAGTCCATGTGTAGGTGGCAGGGACGACTTTGTGTGTGGGGGTGCCAGATGTTTTCCTCTGCTTCAGGGAATTTTGTTGCAAATACTCATCCTTTTTGGTGCAATCTSTTGCTTTACGAGCTGCAGGACTGCGTGTGGATCCTGAACATGGGCTTTGCCTGTGGGCAGTGAGCACGAGTATCTGCAGGGAGCTGCAGAGGAAGCCCAGAGATCTTCCCACGTGGGGAGCTCAGGGCCACTCCATGCTCTGTGTCGTCTTCCCCGGCGCGTCGCCAACACCAATGACTGGCGTTCACAGAGGGGCTGTGATCGAGGTGATGTCGCGGGCWGTGTTGCTTGTCATGCATGTAAATTCTCCCAGTTGGTACTGGGAGAACTGTTGTGTCTAACCGAATATTAGGACTTTTTTTCCCAGTCATTTTGAAGGGAGGGATTAAAAATATCTGCTCTACTCTTGCGGTCAAAGTGGAAACCTCCATTCTACTWTTTTTTTTTTTTTTTTTWCCAGTGCTCAGCTGCCCTGAGGTGGATATTGACTGCAACTGCTTGAACGTCTGTTTGCCCACACTGGCTTATAGGATCAGCTTGGAGAAAAGAGATCTATGCTCTTGGTATGGGACTGGCATTCACTAGCATGGCACTTGGCCATCTGGGGTGAATTGTGCCTGTCTTCTGCCAGTTATCATTTTTTTTYTCCAAGGAGGAATATGGATCAGAAAATTAGTAAAATTATAGGGCTGGAGGGAATTGCAATCCAGCTGCCCATCCTGGAGCAGGACCAATATTCTTAGGTAAGCTTGGCTTACTTAGCCTATTCTCCTCAAAATCTAACTGAAGGACACTGCATACCATCTTTTAGTAGATTATTCTGATACTCCCTTGTCCTTGTCATTTTTTTTTCTAATGTATAACCTAAATACTCCTAGCTGCAAATTAAGCTGGTTAATTTTTGTTTTGTTGTACTCTCAATGGGCACAGAGTACAATTGACTGCTGTCCTTTTTCTAACCTTATACAGATCTGAAGTCTGTTATTATGTTCAGACCTCTCTTTCTGAGAATAAACTTGTTCTTCTAGATTTCCTCAGAGGGACACACAGACTTGCAGCAAAATATCCCAAATCCAGGCTAATTCCGTGGGTCATCTGGTAGGTTTTTTTGGAAGCTTTTTTACTGTTTACAGTGCAGTAATGTCATGGAGAAATGCTTGTTATAATACATGATGTCTGCCTTTATTAACACAGTTATCAACATSCAAGAAGTCTATTAATTCCAATCCTCTTTATAAAGGTGACTTAGCAGAAATGACTATACATGGAAGAAAAAAAATCTCTAGGACAAAGCATTATTAAAGTTATTGGGTTTTTTGTACAATAGTAATTAACATTCTTCTTTCTTTGTTGCAAAATCTAAAACGCAAAGATAGAATCATAAAGCTTTCACCTCCCTTCTCTCCTCCCTATAGAAATCTTACATGTCCCAGAATACTACAGAGTAACTTCTAAACATTGAGGCAACCGGAGCTGATGTTGCTCTGTGGATTTGAATGATTTTGAGCTATTTCATTGYGGTTGACTATTAGGCTGTATGGATGAGCTTTCTACTTACAGTCYGCTTTCCTAAAAGTATGAAAAAATGAGTAAAAAACCACTCTAAGTAGGATTGCAGCTTCTGTATCATGGATACAGACCATCTTGCAAACATTTTTAAAGAAAGGAGATAGTGCCACAGACCTGCAATTATTATTTCATTTCGGTAAAATACTGTGACTAACTGTCTTGATTCCCTATATGCACAAAATCAAGCCGGAACATTTCTCAAGTGTTATTTTGGACTCTGCTTTAGTTTCCTGGGCGATTCTCTGCAGCAGAACTGGTACTAACTGGTCCTTACTCAGCTTATAAAAAGCTCAGCGAGTASCACATGGAAGGATGTTTGTGCTGTGTGATGTGGTGTGGCGTATCCTGTTTTCAAATTAGAGAGGGTTAGAGCTAATTAGAAGCGTAGTGCCCAGCTACAGCCAGATTGATGGCCACTTTGCCCATTGTTTTCACCAGCTTCCCATGCTACGTGTGCAAACCACGTGAACATCAGTGGTGGTGCTTGCTGCTGTTCCCCGGTGCAGAATACACTGCCTGCTGAGAGGCACCACGCGTGGACAGYCACCTTCCTGGGGTGCCTTGTCTGCAGGTCCCCTTGCCACCCTCTTTCTTGGTGTGGAAGGAGCTAAAGAGAGAGCTGACCGGAGTGGGGGACCTGCGCCAGCTCCAGCACGGTGGCCAGCGTGCAACACCAGGCGTATTTAGGTCTGTGGTGTCAAGCGGCTGCCCGGGAAAGCTGCCAGCACTCGTCCCCGCTAGGGCTTTTGCATAAGAAGAGAACAGGACTCCTCTGGATTTTTTTCTTTCTTTATTATTAGCAGAACAAGATAAGTCGTTATCTCCTGTGGCGAAACCTGCCCATAAGGATCTGCCCATAAGGCAGCTGCCTGTTTGCCTGGTGACTCATTAGCTTGGCTCCCACGGTGCCATATTAAGCTAACGAAGACGATGGGAGAAGCTTCAGCAGTTGTAGACAGCACCTTTGCTCCTGTGGGAGCGAGGGAAGGATTTTGCTTCCTGGCTGCACTGGGGGATCCTTGCTGAGAGATGTGTGCTGAAGGACCAAAATGTTCTCAATATCCCTGCAGCAAGAGGAAGAGACCTGGGTCTGCYCTTTGCAAAGGGTGTACGAGCAGGATCTGGACCTAAGCAAGATCAGGCAATGTRACTTGCATCTCTTAAAAGGAAATCGAACCTAAGGGTGAGCAGGTGAGCATTTGTAAATGGTGGGGCTTCCTTCTAATCACTTAAAAATTGTTCTCAGGTGCTTTGTTAGAGCCAGTAAATMCATAGCTGAAGAAAGCTGATGAGCTGCAGCTTTGTGTGGCATAAGTGCCTGCTAGGGCATGTAGTCAGGGCTACCTGCACATCATCAAAGGACAGAAGATGTTGCAGACAAAGTAGAGAAATGAAACCTGGTGTCCAAGGGCTTCCAGAGGAGGGACCACAGCCCTGGCAGTAGCTCCCAGGAGTGCAGTAAGTGATTTGTGTGTTAGCATTGCTGTTACCCACTGAGATTGAGTCTAAACTTCTTAATAGCCAGGGTGCCTGGGTGTAAGTGAGGGTTTTGGTTAATTAAAAGGCCAGGWTTCTGGATATTAGCAAAGAAAACCCTCACTATTAAGCAAAAGGCGTCTAATGTACCTTTGTATTCCCTGCTCTTTAGGAATGTTAACTTGTTAGTTTATTTCTTTCCTTTTTAACTCTCCCTATTTCCTCTATTGGAATATCATGGGTGCCACTTGGGCCAGATGATCAGCAAATTGCCAGCATGGCCCTGTCTGTGCAGCCATGTGCCCTCTCTGTATGAGAAGCCTGAGCAGCTTGTTTAGGGAATGCTTGGGATGTGCAGACCTGATGGGAATTTAAATTGTTTTTCCTCTCAGTAGTAACCAGCAGTTTCTGTGACCTCATTTAAAAGATGGTAAAAAGAGCTGATAGAAAGAGAAAGCTGTTATGCAGCTTGGAAACAAGAGGTGTCTGTCTTGAATTCTTACTTCTCTAGAAGTTGCGTTCTCATTTTCTGTTTATTATTCACTACTTAAGGTGACACCCTTTGGACTGGCTAGCAATGACTTTCTGACCTCCTACTGGACACTGGAACTCTGTCTCGTTTTTTTTTTTTTTTATTTCTTAAATAGTCACTCTTGCAGCCTCAACTTAAATTGCAATCTCTTTCACTAGTCTATCCGGTTTTACTAAATCATGAATATCCTTGAAGTCTTCCACATGTTCTTCCTTGAGCCTCCACCAATTCCCTGCCCTCTATCTACTGTTTATTCTTGGAGTTATTTCTATTTRGCCTGTGATTTCATGTTAGTTGCTYTGGATTCTGCAAGTGGCTGGTTCATCTTGCCGGACAACGTTAATTTGTGTCAAGAATAAGAATCCTGTTGCTTTTGCTGTATTGGCATAGGTGCTCTGCAGGTTGTTTTTTGGCTGTTTGCAAGGGGGCAGCTCTYGTGTGCTTTGCTCCAGCACCCAATGTACTGTCAGAGCTGCTGATGATTGTCTTCTCCATTGATATGGAGACAACACGGCTTATGCCACCTCTGCGGCTCTTCTCCTTCATGGCATAGGGGACTTGCAATTAGAAATGGAGCAGCAGCAGTGGGGAATTATAAGCTGGTGCAATTTAGGACAGTTTGGGGATTCTCCTAAGCTGTGTCGGGAAATAGGCTGAGTAGAAGTTGGCACAGAAAAGCAGCCAGTTCTCCTGCTGGTGTATGAGCACAGAGCTCTGCTCCAGTGCAGCTGAGGACACAGCTGAGTAATACTTCAAAGATAAGTTTGTTATTCGTGTGTTCATATATTATATTTTCGGCTAGTGTCCAGGCAGTCCAAGAGATTCTGTTAACAGCGTGATCCTAAGGGAATTAGCTAATGACTTTCCATACTGATTGGGTAATGACTTTTTCTGCTGAGCTCTCACTTTCCAAAACAATCCTGGCAGTTACTGCCTGCTAATGTCAGTGCTGCAGAGCAATGGCATGAATGAAATGGCTCAGCTTCTCCAGTTAAGTGCATCTAACCTCCCTGTAGAGCCTGTTGCTCTTGTCTGATACTAGGATATCTTCTGTGCTCTCATATCTTTGGGGGTGAGAACAGTTGCTGCCTCTTTGAACAGAGCCTTTTGCTTTGTTTTCTTTCCCAGCTGTGTAGATCTGCCTCCTCCTTTGCTCCCTGGGAGTGATGCTTTGTGCAATAGCCAGAAAGGCTTCATTTGGGCAGTCTGGATCTTGGAGTATCCAGATCCTAGTTAAAGAAGTGATTTTTTTAGGTATCCAAACCTGGTACTGGCACAACTGCCAGCATAACCAGTGTCATGAAGATCAGTGATCCAGCTGGGAGGCAGTATCTGAGCAGGTACCTGAATGAAGGACTTGAAGCAAGAGGCATGTTTTGACTCTCACAGCTCAGAAGAGGGTAGAAAACAGGCATTTTTTCAGTCAGCCTTATCTCCCTTCCAAAAAAGTGCAGTTGAACCTCACATTGACCTTTAATATGTGCAAAGAAGAGCACTGGAACACATTGTCAGCACTGGAACAGTTTTCCAAGAGAGGTTGTGGAGTCTCCTTCTCTGGAGATCTCCAAAACCCACTTAGATGCAATGCTGTGCCACATGCTCCAGGTGACCCTGCATGTGCAAGAGGGTTGGACTAGATGATCTCTGGAGGTCCCTTCCAACCTGAAGGATTCTATGATTCTAAGAGCAAGGACATGTCCTTGTTATGTAACAAAGTCAATCCAGAGGAAAACAAAGACACGCGGGAAGAACTGGTGAAGACAAAGAAGCACKCACAGCTTGCTGGTGTTTGCAGTCAGTTGTGCTCTTTCTAAGCACCTATTTTGCCAACAAGATGGCAGTTAAGATGCTTTTGCAGCTGCATCTGCAACTTGCAATCACTGTCTTGTCTACTTGGACAAGTACACAGCAATAGCTTCAGCTTTCTTTGAGCTCTGGGCTTTGAGCTCTGGACTTGCTTGCCAAGTCTGAGGCTATGTGTAATAACTAGTTAACTTTTTTAGTAGTATTTTTTTCTTGTGAATTTGTGTAATTATGTTTTTGAGCCCACTTGATATTTTTGGCATCCACAACATCCTGTAGCAATAAGTTCCCTGGTTTAATTGTGTGTGAAAAGCTTTTGCTGCTTGATGACCCCGCTTGGAACCCTGGTCCCTCTGTTTCGAAAAAGAGAGGATGAATGGAAGGCCAAGAATTAATCATATAATATATTATTATTAAATGTGAAAATTAGAGCGTCCCACTCCACCTATGAAAGGGATAGAAAAGTTCATAAGCAACTATAGTTTGGCCTGAATGCTATGATCTCTGTCCCAATGGGTAAAATTTATACATTTGTAAGAAATAATCACAAAGAGGATAGACTGGAGGTATAATATATACTGCAGTTAAATCCAGCTGTTTCACTCTTATTTGCTTCTTTCTTTTGCCTACCTTAACATTGAAGTAACTGAATTATCTTTATATGTCCAACAGATAGTGCACAGATGACACTGAGACAGGCAAACAGTAGATGTTCCCCATTGTTTCCAACAGTAGTAGCAATCTTATGCAGTTTTGGTAAAGTTAGTTATGAAAAGTGGCTAACAATGGTAGCTGTGGAATGAATGATAGATGACGATGGTGAGCTCGTGGACTCCCACGATTAAGAATAATTCCTCCTGTGCTTCCGGTGGGGTGGCTTTGAGGAGTTGCTCGTGGTAACTGCAAGTGTGTCTTTCTGGTGGGTGCAAAATCACCTCTACTGCCACAACTGCTCAGGCCAAGGGGAGCCTATAGTAATGACAGAAAAAGGACAAAATCAGTCAAGAACTGATGCAGTTACTGTGAGTTGTACCTCCAGTAGCAACCCAGTGCTGCCTCTCCCTTGCTTTACAACAGGCATTATCCTCATGGAGGATCGTARGTTGCCCAAATTTTGGGGGGTTTTGTAGCAGTCTCCTTCATTTGAGTTGCAATAAGATTTCTTTTCTGTTTTGGCAACTGTATTTTTGTCGGTCATCTTCACTTGCAGCACAAATCTCAAGAGGTTTTGTGCAAACTGTTTCTTCCTTCTCCTCCAAAAGACAAAAGCATCAAGTTTTTCTCTGGAGACCCAGCATAAGATGCAATGAATTTCAAACTCRGAAAACTATAATGCAAATTGATTTGCAGTCTTTAAGTATGGTGGACACTGCCAGATGTTGACCACAATGAATGCTGTTGTTCCCCCACTGTTTGGAGCTTATTGTCATCTCCAGTAGTCCTATGAGTGGTRCCAAGCACAGCTGCTTGCGTGCCCTCAGAAGGAGGGCAGCTCTCAAAGCAGCCAACATCACTCATTGCATGAGCCACGTGCTCCCCAGGCATCCCTAGGAGCAAGTTCCCACTGCWGATGCTCGTTTTCCTTCTGCCCTTGCTAAGCCAAAGCCTTGYGGACGTCCCATTTCTCTGCTCTCCCTGTCTTCCAGCTACTGCTTTTCATCTTTGCCTGATCCTGGCTGCTGCCTTGCAGAAGAGTGACTTAAGGTCTTATGGCATTAAATGTTGTCCTTATTCCTCAAAACGTTCAAGCTATGTCGTCTCTCTGTGATCCCACGTGTATTGACAGGCTATYAGTAGCTGCCAGTGCTCCCAAGCACTTTTGAACCTTCAGCTTTTTGAATCTCAGTCTAAAACTTGAGCCAGTTTCTGATATTTTCACTCCCTGTTCTGATTTTACAGAATATAAATTTAAATAAAAGGGCTCTGATTTTCCTCGCCACTGCTCCTAGCCTCTTGCTGCATAGTAAATGGCCACTGACATGAACTACATGGAAAATCATGCATGTTTCTGCTGACATTGTTGACGGCAGAGCTCATGCATGAGAAAATCTCATAAATCGTAGGTAGGTCTTTAGACTTCTGCTCTATTTAATACAGGAGTCGGAACACAGGTCAAAACTCCTCTAAGAATGGGAGATGACATTTCCCCATCTGCTAGTGCAAGGGAAGGAGTTTGTCATTTGAAAAGCAGAATATTGGTGAGAAGACAAATGAGCAGGCTCCAAGACAATCTGCCACACGGGTAATTGCTCCYGAGTTGCAAATACATTGAGTGAGCAAGTGTTGTGTAGAAATATTGTTGGGAATACCTGTGAGGATGTCTTAATGATGCTGGGAAAGTGGAATGGTGCTTCTTTCTGACCATGAAACAAAATAAGATCATTTCATAGGGGTTTTAAAAACAAGGAATAAGAATAAAGGTCTTGTGCTTTTTATTTCAACTGTTTTCTCTCTTTTTTTTTTTTTTTTTTCCCCCTCTCTCTCAAATGTCAGGACAACAGGGAGTTGGAGTGCAGGTCTTGTCTTACAGGTGCCCTGTGCACTCATTCATGCCAAATGTTGAAATTGTCTCTCTGAAATATAAGTATTACAAAATGGGAGTTGCTAATGGGGTTGGTCCAAGAGGCAGGTGACCTGCATGCAATTC